TGAGATATTAAACAATAAAATGCATGTCCTTATATTTTTTCACTTAAAACTGCACACTAAATTATTACCTGATTGGTAATATGTCCACCCCTGCCTCTTCAGCTGCTCTGGCCATAGCCTGTGTAACACCACCCATGCCTCCTTCAGGGTAACCCCACGCACCTCGCTCACTCCAGCCACTTGGCCATCACATGATGGAGTAAAACATATCTGTAAGGAAAGAAAGAAAGGATGTCGATATTTGATCGCTTGTCTACAATCCTGGTATTCTTTTTGTTCTTGTGCCTGCAACAAACACGTTTATGTACTATCTGCTTTCACTTTGTCTTCACTTGAAAATAATTTTCATGCAAATGTAAGTGATGAGTGAAACAAATATTGCTAGTTTGTTTTCACATAATGGCCAAGACAATTTCGTACCCACTGCCGGGGTGTTGGGACTGATCATGGCCCCTATGACACTGTCTGTAGCTAAAGTTGCTTTCAGTGGTTCAGACTCCAACCAGCGATCAAGAATTTTAGAAGCTGGAGCAGTCATCAGTTCGTATAACTGAGGGATATCTTTTCCTAAAACAGAAGCTGGAAATAAAAGTAAAATATCAGTTGTATTTTCAATCAGAGGAAAAAATTTTTTGTGATTTATTAATCATAAGGGATTTGATTTAAGATTTTTTTTTTTTTTTTTTAGTATTGAGCTATAAGCTCAATAATAACTAACTCTAAACAACAAATATATAAGCAAATACCAAGTATTGTCTGAATATACTTCATGACTTCCATTCTGTCAGAAAACATACTCAGACTTAGGGTATAGTTACAGAATTTACTATCACAGTATCTTGACAATATATATTGAAAATTGATTGGTAAAATTGAATTTTTCCTTTTAGTGTGACATCTATATTTACCACTCTATTTCATATATAAAATCTATTTTAAATACTCTCTTCCTATTTTCAAAAATCACATATAATGGTACAAGATCCACAAACTTCATAAATCAAGTAGACAGTGCCAATATTTTCAGTAATCTAAAACAATTTGAATTGGGGTTTCCTTTGCATGTCAAACATTTACGAAAAAATTCTGTAAATCAACCATGACAGCTCTAACTACCTTAGACTGATCTATACTTTTTGGACACATTTTATAAAAATTCTAGGCTTCCAATCCTTACCAGTCCTTATGAGAGGCATATAATTGGGTAAATGCTTTATTCTGTTCAAAATTCCAGAAGAGTAAAGGTTTCTGACATCTGGTGCTACATTATCAAGAAGTGGAGCTATAGCCTCTGCACACTTGTTTAGTAAAGACTCTAGATGTGGAAGAGCCTGTAAATAATCAAACGATGATTAATTTATGACATCATCATATGCATTAACTCAGTCAAGGGTAGAGTTAAATATCCCCCTACAAATAAGGATTAATTGGATTCACTATTACTGTGAGAGTGATGCCATCTTGAATCACAATAATTATAATATTCTACATTCAAGTCAGCTTATTGGCAAAATCAAAACCTATACTATATGTAATAGTATATATATAAATACAAATCAAATATAAAAGATCGATACAATATGATAATTCATAACTAATTTAGAAATCTGAAACAAATATGAGACACAAAATCTGAGACCTAATATAATAAAAAAGTAGTATTATAGTGTAGATATATTTATAAATCATATAGGAACAGTACTGGGAATATTTCACTTAAACACGATAGCAAACACAAGTGTCCCTAGTTCATGAAATTGTAAATTCCATGAAACTGAGTACAAAACTGAGCCTGGATGTACATGCATTTTCAACTTCTGGCCCATATAAATGAATTGAGAAGCATCCATGATTACTAAGACTTTTACAATATATCTGGAAAAATCCAGTTATTAATTGTGTCATCTGATTATGCCAGGCAATGAGTGATACCATGTGCCAGCAAATCTCTTCACCAACATATATGAAAACCACTAACTTATATTCCATAATCTAAAATAATAGTGAAGCATATAGTCTACTAATTTATCTAACTTAAATTTCTTTAGTACCTAAAGAATGATCACACTGTATGTATGAATAACTTATATTCTTCAATAAAAATCAGTATGGATCTTACTGCAGCATTTATTTCCATTGTTATGGCACTCCCAACTGCATTTATATCCAAAATTTTAATAAGGGTATTACAATAAGCATTTTCATCCTACCTTTGCATCTTTTTCGAGAACTGTGCAATCTGTCTAAAGTTTTCTTCTTCATGGGGACCCAGAATCAAAGATTTGCCTCCACTTGTAGGCCATTCCTTCTCATGTAGTGGTGTATAAGAACTGGGATCTCTCGGATACACTTTAATCCATGGCGCTACAGAGAATAATAAAAACAAATCCTTAATCTAAACACTTTGGAGTGAGAGAATAATATATCAATAAAATGTGAAACTATGACCACAAAATGTATCCTTAATTTAGTCCCTACATTAACATTGTGTCTGCATTGTTAATATAACTACCTTCAGTTCTAAAATCATCATAAACTTTTGGCCTAAAAGACCTAAAACATATGAGGCTCGGGAAAACTTAAATCCTGGAATTATCTCTTCTGTCACCGCTGCTCCTCCAACGATGTGTCGACGTTCAAGCACACAGACACTCCTTCCTGCTTTGGCCAGGTATGCGGCAGCTACAAGACCATTGTGGCCTGAAATATGTAGAAGTTTGTTGTAGGTATACATTCTAAATAGGTTCTTCAGACTGTGTAAGCTGTATCTCCTGACTTCAGGAGTAACAATAGAAGTTATGAGGAAGTTATGAGAATTTACCAATTCTATATATTAAAATGGTATATATATCTACAGTGAAAGCTCTGTACTTTCTGTCGTCATTCCATATAGTTATAATTACACTCTTATAACAATAATAAGCTTTCTCATTATTATCATATTTATCATAATAACAATAGGTGCCATATTATATGTTTCTTAATTGATTATCATCATTACCATTAATAACTTTTGTATTGTTATTAACAATAATAATAATAATAATAATAATAATAATAATAATAACACCAGCAACAACAACATAATAATAATAATAACAATAATAAAAATAATAATGATAATAATAAAAATTACAATAATGATGATGATAATAATAATAATAATAATAATAATAATAATAATGATAATAATAATAATAATAACAACAATAACAATAATAATAACAATAATAACAACAACAATAAGAATAACAGTGATGATGACGAGATGAAGATGATATGATGATAAACAAATTAATTATCATAATAAAATTGATAAAATAATAATAATATCCACAATAATCATTGACATCCATAATAACACCATAATCACAATATGAATATTCACAATCATAAAAATGTAATAAAACAATTGTAATCATAATTATCTCATTCATAATAACAATGATGATAACATTCACAATGACAATAATGATAATGAATAATGATGATTAATAATAATAATAATAATGATACTAATAATAACAATACAATATTAATAATAACAATAATAATTATTATAATAAAAACAATGATAATAACAACAACAATAATAATAATGATAATAATAATAATAATAATAATAATAATAACAATAATAATAATAATAATAATAATAATAAAAAATAATAATAACAAAACAACAATTGCAATATAACAATAATAATAATAACAATAGTAATAATGATAACAATAATAATAACAATACATGAGCAATTCATTACATTCATAATTATAGTAATATCATTCAAAATAACAATAATATCCATAACAGGGGTAGTAGAAGTAATAATAATAATAATAATAATATAATAATAATAATAATAATAATAATAATAATAATAATAATAATAATGATAATCAGAATGATAATAATAATAATGATAATAATAACTATAACAATAATAATAACAAACAACAATAATAAAAACAGCAACAACAT